TGCAAAGTAGGGGAAAAACATTGTAACAAATATTGTTTATTCTGTTGTTTGCAAAAGCTAAACTAGTAATTGAAAAATATTACATAATAATTATTTTTCAATTAATGTTACATAATAATCAATTTGTAAACAAAGTTTACAAAAACATGCCACGGGGATTTGAAGAAAATTTTTCGATTACTTTTTTAGGACAAACAGGAATATCCCGAAATATGCTTAATAAAGTTAGTTAATGAAAGGTTTGATTTTGTTTTGTTTTTCTTTCAGTTTGTTTTTCTTTCAGTTTTTGTTTTTCTTTTTACTGAGAGGCTCAAAGAAAGACTAAAAAGTTTGAATAACAGAATTTCGGGTGGGTGGGAATTGTCCTAACGCCCCCCCCCCTGGAACGGCCAAAAGTAAATAATGCTACTTGTACGATTCCACTAATTAATTTAAAAAGATCACCGTCACCACAGTGAGGTTCGAATGTATTTTCTTTTTCCCTTTTCATCATTAATACCAGAAATAAATAAACATTTCTCCAATTTAAATCTTTTTCGCATACTACTGCTCACTTAAATAGCAGGAAAATGTATTTCCATCATAAAAATTCTGTCGTAATAGCAAAATTCTAGTAATTTTTGATTTGTACGAAACATACTATTTTAAAGTTAGGATTTTGAAGGTGACTTGGAAATTTCTTATAACAGTGGATTAATTGTAATATGCTGTACTTATTTAACTGAATGCTTCCACTCAACACTTTGTTCAAGTTAAGTCAAGGTTTAAAAAAAAAAACATTAAAAAAAACCTGATATTTTTGAAATTCCTGTTGAAGTTTTTCCAATTTCATGTTGTTATCTGCCAACTGTCCTTCAACTGATGCAGGATCACCCATTGATGGATTTTGTTCATAAACACCTTTCATCTTCATCAATCCTTCCCTGAAAGAAACAATCAAAATGAAGATTCGAAAAAGAAAAAAAAAACACATTGACAATATATAAATTTATAACACTTGTGTAGTGGCACAGAAGAAACTTTTTGTTGGCTGTCATTAGCATAAAATTAGTAATAACAGTGTGCAGAAATATCGACATTGAACACACATAACGTTATTCTAGAAACAACTCTACTTGAATAATGCAACATTAAAATTTTAACAAATTTCACAGGGTTCCCACTCAATTTTGAGAAAAAATTCAAGGACTTTTCAATAACTTACAAGGACCTAAAACCAAATTTTTCAAGGACCTACGTAGGAGGGGGAAATTATTAAAACACTACAGTGCGTCTAATAATTTGATATTACTAGGAGGCTTCGCCCCCTGCTCGCTGGCGCTCACCAACCCCCAGAACTGCTTTCACAGTTCATTTCGGATTGCAGTGTTTTCATCATAGAAAAAAAATGGGTGAGAATTTGTCACCCTTTCTCAAAAACAGGGTGAGATTTCAGAAAGTTAAGTGAGATTTCTAAAAACTAAAAAAACACAAATAGACTTGAAAAAAAAA